GAAGTTTCTGTAAGTATATGCATGGTAACAAATGTTCTGAAATGTTCTAGTATAAAACAACCTTAAGTTTTACTTGACCTTTTACTCAAGTGTGTGCCAGAAAGAAGTTTTAAAGCCAACTGTGAGAGCATATTTCTGTATTCAACCACACAATGAAATCCAAACATATCTATATGGCCCACCACATATGAATCAGAGGGACCACTGGTAAACAGAAGAAAGCATTTAATCCTCAGTTCTCACTCTTCTCTCTGCTTCATTGGTGAGGCTGCCATCGAGAAATAACCCAAACAAGATCTGTTAAGTAGATGGCAACTGATTCACTGTATCAGTAGTTCCACAAAATAGAATATTCAAGTTCAATCACTACAGCCTACTTTGGTGTGACTATCTCAGTGCTCATTAACATGACTCCTTGTTGCTTAGCCTTGGATATCAAAAATGAGTAAGTTCACTTACTTTTGTATAGCATTCAGAATACCCCACATATACTGGTCAACCTCCAAGCCTTCCAGCAGAGCAGTTTTACTAGAAAGGAAAAAAAAAGGCAAACCTCATGTTAGAATATTGTTACTTGTGTAGAAGAAGGATGGCAGGATGGGTTACTGAAGAAGTCAGCAGACTGGGATCCAGCAACTTACTATCTGTAACACAATTTAGGAATAATATGGGGCAAACAGTTTTAGTAATTTTTTTTAATTAAGTAATTTTTTTTAGTGAAACATATTGTGAATTTAAAGGCTTTTCAAGCACAGCACATCTCTCCTGTACACATCAGCTAGTACTACTTTTTTTCCAAACTGGAATATTTTTTTTGAGCCACACTGTAATATTGCTTCAAAGCCATATGTATTATAGCTGTTTCATTTAAGATCAGCACAGATGGGGACAGAACAAAACCAAACCAGAAATTATTTTGTTATGTAGGTAGTTAGGTCTGAATGCAGGTGTTCAGACTCAGAGAAATAGGGCAAAAATTTTGGCCTGGATTTGTGAATACATAAATTAAGAAGCCAGACATCCAATTCTTGTGATATTTTTAGCCTGACTTAGAAAAGATTCAGGTAGTTCAAAAAGAACACCTCCACTTCAGGACACATATCATGAATAGTCATTGAAATAAGCTTGTGTCAATCCTGCAGCGTCTACAGAAGCAGGTAGAATGGACAATCTCCACCCTTGTTTATATCTAACATTGGCTGGCACAACCATGACTGAACTGGAGACCTGCAGAGATGAAGTACAAGCTGCTGCAGCTACAGCTGCTTGAGCTGAAGAGCCTGGCTCCTCAGCAGAGGCTGGAACAAATTGTATTCCTGTGGACTGAGCACAGTAGGTTACAGATGCTGAGCTGGTCTGCAGGCTTTCTGTGATTCCTTCTGCCCAGTTAAACTGAGAACAAGGAGTCTGTAACCACTTCAAAGCTTTTTGTTCCATTTCTTCCGCAGTATACTAGCTCTCTGGTCAAAATGTAAGGTTGAAAGCATGCCAAAGTATCCCTCTTTTCCTTTAAGCAATCACTCTAAACTTTCGCTCCTCGGAAATCTTCTACCTTTCCTAAAATCAGCCTTATTCTGGACTAGAAACCTTCCTGCTCTTATTTTAATTTGCATTTGATGTTGACTTTGACCTTGGAGGATCCAACTTGATTTCCTACCTAGTTACTGGGAAATGTTGCAGTCACTCCAAAATTCCCCTTCCTTGAACGCTGCCATTAACTGCGCATGTATGTGACTCACAGCACAGTACCTGAGATGGCTGTTTGGTGTCCTTTACCTGCATGGATGCTGAACACTTTAGTCCCTACATATTTGAAGTTCAGTAGTTTGGGCATTAACACATGAAAATTGTACAAAAATAACTCTAGAATAGACTATCCATTTTTTTTCCACATCACGTTGTCTGATAGTTGCTTATACTTCATCATCTAGAGGAAAACAAATTCTCAGTTCATTTGTTTATGTAGATACCAATCTCATCACTGTAAATAGCTGAGCTTCTTTTGAACTCTACACAACCCATTGATAGCCTGTAATGAAAGCTTGGAGATGTGTTTTGTGAGAAAATATCTTTGTTATCTGTTCCTAAATTTCAAACAATCCAAGGTGCTCCCTCAATTTATTTAATATTGCAAGGATTCTTATTGGACTTCACGCTGTTAGGTGATTGTAATACATACACCTTATCTCTCCATACTTCCTTTTTCTCCCCACCATGGCCTTAAACACTCTATGAACTCAGTCAAATTGTTTACAACTGCATTTCATGTAGTATGGTTACACTTACTTGCATACCGGACACCTCCAAGTTCCTCTTTCACAGTTCAGTTGCAAGTAAGATTCCAGATCGAAGCACTAGGTAAGAGAAAGAAAGAAGAGAAAAACAAAATCGGAAAGATAAAAAGATGAAATCAAGGGAAAATACTGTATTAACTGAGACAACAGTAAAATTGCCATGAAAAAAAAAGCCTATTGGCGCTGAAAACGAAACCAAATAGCTTACTTTCTCCCTCTACATGAAACATATACATATATATGTAGCTAATTATTTAGGTTGATACACACAAAGAAGCCCCATTTCACTGAAGGGTTATCCTGACCTGGTAGCCACTGCTGCCGGCCCGCGACACCCTCCCATCCGCTCGCCAGGCGGAAGGTGCCACAGCAGCAGGTGGCCGAGGGACTGCTGCCAGGCTCTGGCACCCACTCACCTGGACGTGCTTGCAGTCGTGACCCCTTGCTGGGAGCTGAATCCGCCGGAATGTGATTGGACACTTCAGAGACACTTTAATAGCAGTCTGCTCTACTCCATCTTCCCCGTTTAGTGTCGCATTGCCAGAGGAAGCTGCTACGCTACTGAAGTTCCTCTTTACTGTGCAGGAAAGAGGTATGTGTGAAAAAACACACGTGTACTGTAAATTCTAATGTAGAAATCTGAAAGACCAACACTTTGACCTTTAAAGGCCAATTGAATGGACAATTTATCCACATAGGTATATTCTGTGTAATTCAGAACATTCTCCTGAACAGACAAGCTATCATGCGCATGCTCATCAGCTGTACCCTCAACCAAATAAAGTTCCACACAAGCACTTAAAGCACCCCTAAATAAATAAATAATCGTTCAACACGGGGCTTTTAGGTAAGTCAAAAACAAAGACGGGGGGAAAGCCAGACAGATTCTCCTGAATGGGAGAGTTGTCACTGGGAGCTAAGCTTGGTACTTTGTTACCCCCAAACTAAAGAACCTGAGGATAACAAGAATTTAATCTACACACGTGATGTTATGGAAATTCCTGACAAGCGCAGCTGAAGGTTTTCAATAAGCAAGTAAATCTTGTATGGAAATGGCTTATCAAAATTGAACACAGGCATTCTGGAAAGTTATCACTCACACAAAGTAAAAACTCACTCTTAGTGATACAGTGTTCTGCTGGGAGGAGGCGTTTCTTTAGTAGACCTTGAAGTACAGAGCGAACTGAGGGCCGGTGTACTAACTGCAACACGAACAAGTGAGACTGAAAGAAAACACATTTTGTTACCAAGAGAACCAAGCAGACACAGCCAACACACCACTGAACAGAGCTGCATTATGCCCTTGGACACGTGGCCTCCACAAGAGCCTGATGCTTCAGTACGCAGACTGGTTCTGCTCTGCTGTGCACACCCGCTCCCCGGGGGATATTCTCCACGCTGCGCAGTACGCTGCTCTGTGCTCCAGGAGCATGGCCTGTACAAGGGCTTCCAAAAAAGCAAAGGTTTTCTGCATTTTCCCCCTCCTTAGTATTCCTGATACATAGGGCTGGGGTATTCATCTCGGACATGAGGGTTCACTTTTAAACTCCTGGATTCTTTGAGATAGTCCAGCCTGCCTACCTGCCTGCCTTTGAGACTAAGCTGGAAGAAGCAAAACCGATTTGCTTACTGATCTGTCTGGAACCAACTGAATCTTCTTCCCCAGCACAGAGCTTGTTGTGGATTCACAGGATGCTGCCCCTGCTCTTAGCCACCAGATGAATGACTTTACGTAGAGAAACACCAGTGTGAAGCAAAGCAAAATAGGTGGATCACTCCTTGTCAAAGTGCCTCACACTGTGTCCTTGGGACAGGTAGCAGCTTGCTTTCTTGTCAGTGACAACAGAACAGTCAAAAGCTCAAACTGTATGTGTGCAACAATCTCTATTAAAAATACAGTATTCATCCCTGAGAGTAACTAAACCATGGAAAAGGAGAAACAGGAAAGCCACACAGTCTAGATTGCACCATGGAATGTGAGTTTTTAATCTGAAAAGCTATTTGAAAAATCATCACCACCAACAATGATTATGGAGCTGACGTTCTCATGTCAAGCCAAACACAGTTTAATACCCCAAGTAAATTCAATTAGTACCAGACAACAGGCTGCAGCACAATAATCAACTTCTACATTAATAGACTTTAGCTGCCGTGTTACACATGCTAAATAGGTAGGAGATCAAACTCCCTTCATCCCCTAAGCCAGAAGCCTTGTCAGAGACATGGGAAGGACACCACTACATTCTACAAAAATTCAGCTGCAAAAATTTCCATATTAGCACTCTGATTGTGTCAACATCATCAAACAAGCACCTTACCAGAGAAATGTATGGGAAAAAAATGAGAGTAAGGCTATTGAGGCTAAGGCAACACTTGCAAACTGTACTAAACAGCAAACTCAGCATCAGCTGCTGCAGCCGTGAGCTCAGTGTACTTACACAACAACATGCTGTGACTGTAATTTGAATCGTGTTTCTTCCTGGCTGGCAGACATGCTTTAGGTGCAGAGGTTTATGAGATGTCTTGTTGTCGCCACGTTCGATGGTAAGTGGGGTTGCATTAACGCTGACCTGGACTGAAGCTGGCCAGTTTGTGTTCATTTGTCTGTCTTCATGGTGATAGCACTTGAACTGTAATTCCAAGTCAGACCTGCACAACAACCAATAAATCTTCCTTTAACTTTGCTTTCACATTGCAGACGGAGTCTGCTTTGAAGCTAGGAATGCTTTTTCATTATCGGGTTGCTGCTATAGAATTATTGCCAGGAACAGATGTAACATACTTTCTTCATAAAAGCCCTTAACAGAAGCAAGTCACGATGAATTAATGATGCAAGCATGCCACAATGTTGTCATTCATGTTTTACACTTATAAAGGTCTTTGTAAGAGAACATCTCAAACCACTTTGCAAAACTAGACCATGAAATCATCCTGCAGAAAGAAAAACATTAACATCAGGTAGGTCCTTCCTGTGTGTTAAGAGTTACAAACAAGAAAGTGATACGCTGCAGTGGGTTGTATTGGAAGACTGTTGCACAGGAAGTTCCACCTCAACATGAGGAAGAACTTCTTTACTGTAAGGGTTAAAGAGCACTGGAACAGGCTCCCCAGGGAGGTTGTGGAGTCTCCTTCCTTGGAGACTTTTAAGACCCGTCTGGATGCATTCCTGTGTGACTTGCCCTAGACTAGATGGTCCTGCTCTGGCAGGGGGGTTGGACTCGATGATCTCTGGAGGTCCCTTCCGACCCCTAACATTCTGTGATTCTGTGACTGTGGATTCTTCACTCCTTCAGAGCATTTAAAAAAGCATTTGAATGAACGCTTGTCAGACAAAATACAGTTACATCCTGCCCTGGAACTGGTAGATCTACTAAGATAAAATGACCTCTGTACATCACCCGCTCTGTTTCTGAAATTCCAAATTAATAAAGCTGTGGATTAAATCTATCCAATTTAGACCTTCTTTCAGAGCATTATTTCCTCCCACTTCTCCAACGATAACTTCCACACACGACTTAGCTCCTCAAAAATTAGTTTTATAACACCTCCAAAAAAGGAAGAGGCTGAGACTAGGCTAATCACAAATTAAGTGGGTAGAGCCTATGACTTCAGTTTCATACATGGATTTTTAACTTGTGTTAGGAATGAGTAATTTGAAGAAGAAATTTATAAGAACATGAAGAACTGAAATGTCAGGATTCTGCTGTTCATGACAGCAAAATACAGCTCAATATTTATCTTTTATGCTTGAAAATCTAGGTGCTCATTTCTTTATCTTGCCTGAAGGAAGATACCCTTGTAAGATCCCCAAGGAACAGCTCATTCAGGAGATCATCACCTTAACTGCCATTTTCCTTATCTAAAAGTAGAGATTTCAATTCTGACTTAACATAGTCTTTTCTGGATTGTAAAACATCAAGACTTAGCACTGGGTAGAAACATGTTTGTTTGTTTTTTAAAAAAAAAAAGGTACAGAATACAAATTACCTGACCTTTCAACATAATTCATCTATATCACAGAATAACTATTCTGAGTTGGAAGGGACCTTTAAAAATCATCTAGACCAACCCTCAAGTCTTTCCCAGCTTTTTTTCAATATTTTATTAACAATTTTTTGAAAGCTCTCACTGCAAGATCCACTGTAGATTCTCACCTCATAAGAATACGCTGCAGTCACCCAAACCTGAAGAAAGGCTTGGCACTTCTGACATAAAACCCAAGCAGATTAAGCACGTTCCTGAGGACTCTGAGCAGGCCTGCTGAATGTCACAGAGTGGTGACAGAGCTCAGGAGACCCTCATGTTCTCAGCACACAGTGTCTCCACCATGGGATACTATTAATAACAGAGCAGTGCTAAGACTGAAACAGCTTCAAGGAGACATTTTTCTCTGCCTTCAACCTTTCTGCTTCTTGTAACCATGAAAAGTTCCCAGCAGGGAGAAAAACAGCCGCATTGCTATTCATTATGTGTGTACACGTGAGAGGTTTTGCTGAATATTTTAACTGGCAGACAAATATTCAGAATTGGCTTGATTCCACCATTCTCTCTAAAACCAAAATCCATCCACACATGTGACTAATTCATTTTTCTGGAGTCCATCCAGCCCTGAGTTAAATGTGAAATAACTTCATTACAGGGCCATCCGTTCTCCCCACTATTAACAAGTTTTTCTAAACAGCAGACCTGTGCACAGTTTACCTATGAGTCTTCATTAAAATAAGATTAAATAAAGGCTATGTGTTTCGTGAGCTAAGGAAGAAGGAAAGAATAGGTATTAAGAAACAGCCTCATGCCTCAGTGCAGCACTATAAATCTACTGAATGAGCCAGCACAATCCCCAGTAGTGATTACTTATTAATAAGAACGGGCAAGTAACTGCCAAAACTCCCTGTGCTGCGAGTACTCCACGATAATGAAATGCAAGTAAGCAATAACTGACCTCAAAGTTAGGTGTTAATTATTGGATGTGGTCTGCCTGCAGCCTCCCCTCCCTTCCAAACCCCAGGCTCTCTCAGAGTAGGGGGGCACCGCAACCGCAGGGACTCCTGCAGCAAGCCTCAGCTTTCCAGCCAGAGTCCAGCCCTGGGGCAGGGAGCTAAGCACACCTCTTTGCCCACCTCACGCCCTCTGCCCTCCACACCATGAAAATACAAGTCTCAAGTTGATTTCAGTGAATGGGAAGAAGATCCTCATGGAAGATTACTCCCATTAATGTCAGGGAGTATTTGGTCCAGGCTCAGAAAGAAACTGAAAGTGAGGCAGGCATAACAGAAAATGTACTTAAGATGCTGCATTTTACCATTTTTTTTTTTTTATCTCATCTGCTACACCTGTGAAATAACCTCCACACAAGACCCTGAGCAACTAGCCAGCTTCCACAGTGCACAGAGACAGGCTCAAAGAGTGTAATCAGCAGACAGGATAAACACTGAAATGCCTCTGAGAAAAACAGAATGAGGAGACAAAATTATTCTGTGGTATTTAAAAATATACAAATAAGAAAAATTAAGACTCTGATTGTTATTTTATCTAAAGCCCTTCCATGACCATGGTGGAATCAGTACATAACCTGAAATCACTTAAGCAAATCTTCATTAACTGCAGGAAAGTACCACCTAGGAAAACTGCCCCTCTGTGCTTGAAATTAGTGCTCACTGTAAGTAAAAAACAGAAGCCTTTGTATGTGAAAAGCTATGCTCTGGTATTTCTCACCTGTTCTTAACTTGTGGAGTCACAGGATGGGGAATTTAGGAAGTTATTTTCTGAAAGTTTGGAGGATTTAGCACTTTTCTTTCCAAATGAATTTGCGAAGCCTCTAAATCAGGTCTTTGATTAGTGTGTTATTTTTTATTAACAGATACTCCACACCATTTAATTTAAGCCTAAACTGTAAGAGGCCACAAAGCACTTAGGACTTCAGAGTCTCCCAAATGGAAGTTTATAGTGGAGTCAGTTGTGCACATCCCACACCTATTCCACCCAGACTGGAAAGGATGAGACAGTTGCAGTGATTTCTCAAACACTGCATTCCATACACTATCGGCAAGAAGATGCAACACAGATCAGTAAGCATCTTACAACATTTTGTCTCTGGAAAGTGACAGGTGAGAGTATCTGTGAGTTAAAGGGCATTTTTCCTATCTAGGCCACAATTTTGGAAGTGAGGTTCAGGGCAAACCGAAATGAAGTTCATCTAGCCTTGCTACTCCTTGATCTCTGGCTGTAAGACTTCCTGGGAAGTCCTCTTCCCTCCTGCAAGAGCTCACCTCCACATCAGCGTCTGATGAACAGTTGGCCGTAAGTGAAAGACGTGGTTACTGACTGCCAGGTTGTGTTCCAGCCGGAAGGGCTCCAGCACAACTCCATCTCTCACGGGAAACGTCAGGCGCAGCTCATCGTTGTGGTTGGCTGGGATCGAAGAGGGAGAGAAAGTGTGAACTTTCCCTTTAGCATCTGCAGTGCAATAATAATGTGTGTATTTATACAGAACAGTAACAAATGGCACAGTGATCTGCTACTGGGTCTATCTTAGCAGGTTCATACACTCGAAAAAGAAAATCACAAGTAACTACATCATCTAACTGCTACACGTTACGGGACTCCAACTGATAGAGATGGCAAACCTAAGTCTTCTGTTCTTCCACACTTAACATTAGGACCTGAGCATTCTGGCCACAAACAGAAACTGGGCATGGCAAGAATTCCTGTTTTTTCATACTGGGTAGGTTCTGTGTCCAGGCTTACTCTGCTGGCAGAAGACTGACAACAAATCTCTTAATTATGGCAAACTATAGTAATCCTTATTTTTTCACCCTGTGAACTGTGATCAACATTACTTAACTAGTTGCAACAGCTTCATCAGGTGGAACTATCCAATGACCAAACACACTGGTATTCAATTACTATGTTATAAAACAAGGTTTTGTGGTAACTTACAGCTAATCTGTAAAGTTCAAATGTCTTTAAATGTTGTGTTTGTGCCCAAATAAATACTGCAGGCCACCTCCTTCTACTTCATTTTTCATCTATCCTGAACTCCAAACATCAGCTGCAAAGTGCTAATGCAGCAGCAATTATTTACAGAAAACAGAAAGGTTCTCCCAGTTCCCTAGTAAATGATATCTCCTATTGTTCATCCGTCACTTCAAAACCTGAAATATCTTGTGCTAGTATACAGCCAGATATCTTGTTATTCCTGCCCCGTTCCCAGCCAAATGCAGCTGTGACGTTGAGTGGCTTTGAAAGGAACATATATCAATTTTTGGCACACTGCTGAATATTCTTAACAAGTCTGTACGGATCAAAATAGAGACACTGTTATAAATATTCACATTTTTGTGCTATTCTGCAGTGAAGTTCAATGAATCGCTCTGCCCTTGAACAAAACAGACCGCCATGGAAGTTCAGACAATAAACAAGCCTACCAAGCACACACAATACGATTCAAAATCAAGCGTTTCATTCTCAGGAAGTGTATCAAAGGAACACTTCAGGGGTAAAATCCTTACAAGTTTAATCCAGAAGAACTTTTCAGATACTCTGTTTCAGTTTGGGATAGCAAACTTTCTCTTTCGTATCCACTGGGTCTAGCGATCCTGCACCACACATGCCACTTCTGGCAATTTAGCAACCCCAGATTCTCCCAGAGTGGCAATCTGAGTTAGCTTCCAGACTAACTGACTCTGAAATGGATGTGGTAGAGAACAGAGGGACAACAAATTACTGCGGGGGCATTCTATTTGCTACTCACTTGGAGGTGGTGGTAAAGCATTGATATTTGGTTTAATGTCAGGTGGGAATGGTGGTTTGACATCCTGGTTAGGTGAAAGGTATGGTGGAATATTGCTCCCTGGAGTCATAGGTGGTGTGGGGTTTCCTGGAACAGGTGAATGAGGGTAATTTGCCACAGGTACAGGCCTTGATGGCTAGAAAATAAATAACATTGCATTGTTATTACAGCTTGAAAATAAGAATAATAAGCCTTGTGAACTGCACTGCTATCAAACACGGAAGACTACAAACAAGGTAGGGAGGCCCCTCTATCTCTGGGAGGACAAGGAACCACAGGATGACCCATGAGGCCTTGGAGGAAGAGACAGACCAGGAGAGCAAAGCAGGAACTGAAAGCAGCAGATCAGCCAGCTTAATTCAGGCAAAGATCAGATAGAAGCAAGGCTGCCAAGAGGCTTATCATGTTCCTCTGAATGCTCTCTTTCCAAAACCAACCAGCCATTTGCTTCAGTTTTTCTACACCACCCCAACCCACCCAGCCCTTTGTCTCTCCCTGGCCTCCTCCCAAAATAGCCCCAGTACACAAAAGCCTACATGAAAAATAAAATCCAAAGACATGCAATTAGAATGTCTGTGTCCATTTTACTTCCATCTATCCTTTCTTCCACTCCTGCTCAATCCATCTAATCAGAATGGAAGATCTGGGGGTCAGGGGATGTCTTTTATTCTCTATACCTACAGTATGATTCTGTTCTTAGTTTGCTGCTGAATAAGACAAACTAAGAGAAAAAGGACAGTTAAGTATAAATAGTAGCTACAATATTAGAACACTACTGGTTTTGTTTCTTGTAATTAAGGGGATGGTTGCAGTTAACAGAATAAACCAATAACAATGATGTGAAGGGTGCCGACACTAAAAAAAAATGTAGTTGCATGGTACTGTCTTGTAATAGCTTGTATATCATAAGCACATACACCTGAGTGTCATAAGATGGAAATCTTCAATGACAGCCAAAGAATGAGGACTTCAAATCTGATCTTATACCTAAATGCTGCACTGCTAGCCTAGGATACTCTAAGGTACATAAGAGAGCTGCATTCTGAAATCTTAAGTCATTACATTTCCAACACCTTTGTTTTTTTTCTTTAACGCCTACAGTGACTATTTCCACAATCACTACAATGCAAAAGTTCTGGTCCCGTCTGTGGCAAGCTGGAATCTCTCCCTCAGCCAGTATAATCTCCCTTCTTACCCAGGTCTCTTTTTTTCTGTTTCCAGATCTGTTGATATTTGAATACAAATAGAGGATGCATTGGAAATACCATATTCTCTGTCAGAACTGTCCTCTAAACAAAAAACTTAAACCCATTTAAAAACAACACATGCAAAAAAAAAATCTGTCTCTTCAAAATTTCACAGAGATCTTCTGCTGTTTATTTTAGTGTGACTCCACTGGAATTACAGTAGTTGAGAATCTGACTCTTCTTCATGTTCTTCCTGGCAGTGTACTGCAAAACCCACCACAATGCAACAGGCATCCCTTTGGGTACCACAGTGGACAGCCTGGTTGCACACAGAACAGATGTTCTATAGTAAAGGGTATTGTTTGCCTTTTTTTCCCCAATGGTGTTTTCGGTGTGAACCACACTGGAACAATCCTAGTTCAACACTAATGTGCAACATTAAAATTCTTTTATTCCACACTCAAAATTAGAATGTAGTCCAGAGACTTCAACAACTAATGCTTTAAATGATGCAGATCAAAACATCGATGGTCCTCCCCATTCTTACACTCATTGGAGTACCTGCATGCAAAAGGTCACTTTTGTGTACACTTCAAAGATGTCAAACCTCAGCAAGCCCTCACTACAAATTGAGTTTGGAGAATATGAAGTCCTCAAGATGTAAACGTAAAACAGGTTTTAGCAACATTTTAACAATTCTAATTCTTGCTCAAAACAAGCAGCACAGAGGGGGAAAAAGGAGAAAAAAGGAGGGAGAGGTCAGAGAAAATCATGCAAGCTTCCATTCAAAGATGAATTCTACAGCTGGAAGAGCTTTTAAGTTTGGGCTGGCTTAATCCAACAGTGACCGCTGTAAGTCTGAGACTGGATACTGCAATATGGAACTTGTTTATTACAAATTTCTGAAGTTGTACTCCTGCAGGGTGCCATGAATATGTGAAAATATCACACATGAATCCCATTAGGTACTTCTTTTCACAAGCTAATTTTTAAAGTGAAACCAACATTTTCATGTAAAAGCCTCTGTAAAAGCTGCAGAAACAACTTTGTTTTATGAACTCCTCTGAAGTCACAATGCACCTTGGCTGATTGACTTGATTCTGTGATATTGAAACTATTAGTAAATACACTCTTTATCTTTTTATCTCTTTCCTTTAATTATGTAAAAGCAGGTTCTATGAAGTCATTAATGTGACTTCATTCATAAATGCCTACCAGAACCCAACAAAATAATCTAATAACTCTTACCTTGTAATACTGTCCCATGTTGACTGTTGGAGGAGGGTACTGCCCTGTGTTTTGCTGGCTTGGCATCCTCTGTCCTGGATAGTTGGGAGACGTAAGGGGTCTTGGAGGGTTGGGAGTGGGATACTGACCAGGCTGGTTTGGAAACTGGCTATTTGGTCCATACTGCTGGTTTCCATAATTTGGCTGTTTCATGACAGAGATGAAAGAAAATAAAGATGTTTCGTGCAAGCAGCTGTCTTGAATCGATTGTTAGCATACAGGCAATAGTGGCATCAAAACAAACAAAAATCTCCTCCAGGTGAATACTCCTCAACTTAGTACCACTCATGCCTAAACCAGGGCCTTGATGGCTGGAGATGAATACTCGAAAGTATAAAAGTCCCACAAACCACTGTGGGATAAGAATGCCCATGTACCTTAATACATACATTACACTCAGCCTCGCAGCTCTGTCACAGGGCAACATGTTTGAAGAAACCAGAATTACAACCAGAAGCAATGTTCACAAAAACTGTGTTTTTGCAGGTGCTACCAGCCCCAACCCTGGGGCTTCTTTTCCAGACGGAGAAGCACAAAAAGTAACATCAAAAAAATAATCCTGAAATGGCCAGAGAAGTTGTGTTATCCCTGTGTGTCTTCTCAACACAATGGCTATGCTGGCCTTGTGCTAGAATGTTTGGCAATACCTTAACTAAAGAGAAGCTATTACTGGCAAGAATACCTTGCTAGTGCTAGCTGGTACTCTACCGCGGTTTTGGCATCAAACTAAAGAAAATTAGAACTTTAATGGTAATAAAATGTCAACTTGAAAAATTAACTGTTTAGTAAGAAGTTTCCACAATGAAGTTTTCAGAACCCAATAAGCAAAGAGTATCTACGGGATCTACAGAATTCCAGCTCAGTAAGCATCTAATATTTAGGGCACTGGTCACTACTGAGTTCTTGGAAACATGCTTATATTAATTTACAATGACAAACCTGCTTCTGAAGCAGCACAAAAGGATTTATAGTCTTTCTTAAAATATACAACTTGAGATAAGAACTATTTGAACAAGCCACATTCTGTGTCTTCCTAACTCTAATTGTAGAGTAAGTGGCAGTATTTACAGAGTGAAAAGCCCCCCCAGAAGCACATTACTTCCCTTCTTGCAAAAGCACATCACTATTCTATTTACAAGTTTGTTGGTTTTGTTTTTTTTTTTTAATAAACCCCCCAAAACACTAGCTTTCAGACCTGGAAGGAAATGTAGCTCAGTAATAAATGTTTGCTATATCTTCTGCATACCATGGAACTCTGCTGTATTTTTTCTATAAACTCTTACTACCAATATTATAGTCAGGGTAATATCATAATATTCAAAGCTCTACAGCTGGAGTTATAACTGTTGTTGTAGTCTCAATTTAGTACAGAATTTCACCAGAAAATTATCTCTGAAGCCAGTAACTGGTGGCTAGATTTGTAAAGGCATTTAAGTGCATATAGATGCTGACAGTTGGTAGGCTTCTCAAAAGCATCTACTGCTTGATTCACACCAATTTGAGTAGTAAAATGAATTGGTACTTTCTAAAATCCAAAAAGCTCATCTGTCTACATCTTTGGTTATTTAAATTTCTTTAAAATTTTGACCCAAGTGTTTTGTCCAACATTGTAACACAAGTCAATGGTGATATAATTTTGTCTACAAAGCCACTCAGATCTCATATAACAGCATGGGAACTTCAACAGAAACACCACACTCCAAATAAACTTAGATAAATGCGGACAAAGAGGGATTTGAGTTCAATGTGATTTATATTCATCTCAACACCTATGAAAATTAAGCCTTGAGAAGTATGGGAAGCAACTGCTCTTTAAATAAATGTTACTACTATGATACAACGTATGCCCTTATTTCTTTAGAACAATAAAACCATCCAAGAAAATGCAAATCAGATGTATTGGGCTTAAATGAAGTATTTCACCTTCAACATCTCTCTTAAGTTGTTATGTTAAATAAATCCACTCCTGTGAAGAAAGTCTGCTAAAGGTCTACGAATTCACCATCTAGCATGAGACTCTTAAAGTGACATTTTGAGGGCTCAGCTGGTTTCGGGCCTTTCTTAATGACTGTCATCCTGACTAATATAGCAAGGACCAACTTGAATACTTTAGAAGCTAAAAAAGAAGAGCTGCTGCCACTTACATTTTAATGGCAGCACTCCTACTAAGGCTGGAAGAAAGATGTACCTACCTTATAGGGATGCACATCACATACTACCCAGAATGGTGCAATTTTCAGTCAAAATAAGTGTCCATAAAATACAATCTATTTTATTACCTCTCCTGGGTATGGTCTCTTTATGCCCTGTATAGGCAAAGACTGGGGGCGTGGGCCTGGGTAGGCTTGCTGAGGCATCCTCTGCCCATGGGTGCTGAAGGGACTCATTCCAGGAGGTCGAGGCTGGTTCATGCCTATGGGCGGCCCACTCCTGCTGGAAGGTGTGATTCCTGATCCCGAGATGGCATTCACGCTCCCATGCTTGCTGGGTTCATGTTGCCTGGCATAGAAGCTGGGCCACGAGGACCAGGCTGGTTCATAAACTGGTTGTTGTAAGCCTGAGTTGGACCCATCTGGAAAGAGGAACAAACCTTCAACGGAAGAAAAAAAAAAAAAAAAAGAATAAAATGCGACATGCATTTAAAATGGGAGGAGGGAGCTGAACATGCTTTTAGGGGAGGGAAGAAGGGGAGGATTTATGTCGCATTTTCCTTCAATGTTCTCCAACATTCGATGGGTGGTGATGTTATTCATAAGAAAAATTCAATTAGAATTGTAGAAGGCATAAGAGAGTAAGACAGACATAAGTCTATGGTGAACAATTAAATTGTTTAAATTGGTTAGTCTTTTACTGTAAGGTAACAGGCTAGGAAGTTGGCTGTGTAAACACAACACCACATCACAAATTCTAAGACATTGTGCTTCTTTACATCACTTAGCATATGGGCCCATATAGTTCAAAAATCAGAGAGGTAAAAAAGCTAAGGACAAAAACACCCGAACTGATCAAATCCTGGTTTATTTTAAGAAAAAAAAGTATTATGTTAAGTCATGACACACTGGAGGCTATGGATCACCAGACACGCATCTCGCATAGCTGTCCTCACAGACAACACTATTAAAAAGCCAATCTCTTTTCTACCGTTGTTTCCTGTTCGAAGGGAAAAAAACAACCACTCAATTGTAGTTGGCAAAATAAACAATTACCCAAGTGGCACAAAACCTATTCCAAGATTCTGGAACATTTCACTGAGTACTCAAATTTAGAGGTTCACAAGGCTGGTAAAGACAGCAATATTACTTCACATCAGATGCAGCTGTAACTTTGGGTAATTTTCAATTTTTTTTTAAGGGGCAATACCCAAACTACAAACGACAGCTAGGCAAGATTTATCAGGAAAACCACGGGAAGCTGGACCCATACCTACACACACACATTCCAGCAGTTTCTCGTAAGCATTTATAACCATGCTCATGCACAAAAAAAGAATACAGTAGGCACTCTAATAAGCAGGGGAGTAAGAAGGACAGCCCAACTCCCTGCAACGGCCCAGATTAGGCAGGTATGAAGACGTAAGGGTTACTCTCTTACCGGTCCGTACTGGTTCATGTCCTTATTCTGTGTTTCCTGAAGCGCTGCCACAGTGGCTGTAGCTGTGGCTGGTGGTGTAGCAGCGTGCTGTGAGCGCCGGCGGCGGCACCTGCAGCAGCAGCAGCAGCAGCAGCTGGTTGGGTGAAATCAGCTGGTGGCCTCGTGTGGGGGGGGATCCCCATTCCTGCAGGCGTATTTGGGCCTCCAGGATAACTAATGGAAGAGAAGAGAGAAAGGGACAAAGAAAGGCAGAAAGAAAGGGAGGAATAAAAGGGAGAAAAAGAATGAAGATGTGCCTGGTGGATTTTGTTTTGTATGCTGGTGTGATCCCCATCTGGAACTGTTCCAAAACCATGTTTCAGTGCCTAATGAAAGCCAGCAGGACAGGGAATTAGGTGTGTGCATGAGATACAAGTGTTGCTCAGGTGCAACAGCCATAGGGCTGCCACCAGGACTGGCAGGCACCACTGTCAGTCCTTGGGGGGCCACAAACGGCTTCACAGTGCTGTGGCTTACTGCCCAGTGGAACGGAAAGCCTGGAAGTTAACACATGCTCCACTTCCAAATCGCATCGGGGCAGCCACGCAGCAGTGTGAACAGAGAGCTTCTCCACTACAGCACGTTCACCTGCCTCAGTGGGGAATCATGCCAAGTGTTCCTCATGTAAAAGCATTCCTCACCGGACCTTTGCAGAAAGGCCAGGAGAAACCCAATGCACTCAGCGCTACTGGATCCCACACAAGGTATTTTGCAGTTTCTACCCAGCTCTCCCACAGATCAAACATTAAGCTAAACCACGCTTTTCCCACTCTGAGACATCAACCATCTATAAATATGGGCCAGTATATCCTGCCCATTTTAGATTATTAATAAAGTCTATTAATGAATACAATTTTCTACAAGATTAATACAAAACTGAAGAAACTGACTTGTTCAAGGTCACTCAGTAGATCAGCAGCAGAGATGAAAGGAGAGATAAGTTCTCCAAGTCCCAGGCTTATACTCTTCACACTAGACTAACTATGCTAACAACATTTCAGCAGGCTTTGCAGAGGGGTCATAAATAATAGTTTCAGCTAAGTGCACCTACCACTATTGTTTACAAAACAAACAGAGTAACTCAAACTGTAACAAAACCCAGAGTACTAGCTTTAGCTTATTTAATGAATGCAGCATTTACTTCCTCAAACACACAGCTTGACCGTTCCTCTCAAACATCTTCACTGGCAATCCTTTTAAAAATCCTGCTGTGGAGTAAGTCTTTGGGTAGAAACATCCCATTGCATAGGAATCTGCTTTGCCTAATACCCAAGCTTATTCCTCCCTACATATGTAGAAATTACACCATCAATACCTTTCACATCCTGGCCTTATTAAATGTTAATCATGCCTAAGCCTGTGGTCTGTTTAACAATCTCTCTTAATTAAAACTTTATTTTGGGGGTTTATTAGAGCTAATTGATTGACCTACACCACTACCATTTACTGTGATGAATTTCATTGCAGTTTGGGTAGCTGATTTCCAAAGCTGTAAAAGCAGCATACACTTCAGTTAACCAGCATAAAATAGCTAGACTTTATATAGCTACACTTTACATAATTAAAATAAGCATGTGACACTTCTGCCAGGTCACTAAAACATGCTTCATCAACTATTTATATTCATTTTCCACCTTACACATGTAAATCTTACCTGCCACCAAAGCCTCCACTTCCAGGATAATTGGGTCGCCCATACATGCCCTGCTGTATGTATGGTTGAGTGGAGCCTGCCTTGGCTGAAAATTGTTGCTGTTGTCCAGCAAACTGAGGGGAATTGATTCCAGGGTTGCTAGCAGTCATCCCAGAAGCCATGGGATTTCCTGCTGGGTTCATAGGGTTGTTAGCATTTGCCATTGGATTTCCCAGCACCTGTGAGTAGAAACATCAGAATAAGGCGCTGTGCCTTGAAATACATCAAGCAAATTAAGTTGATTTACTGCAATTGATAGATTAAAATATAATCACCCCCTACACTGAACTGCAATGAGCATACACCTTTATTGATGTCTAGGTGCACATTCTTGGTGATTTCTCCGTTTTCCATTTCCAAACAAACAAAAATTTTTGATCTCTAATTAGCATTCACAGGAGATTTTTAACTAGATGGAACCCATACTAACACATTTATGGAACAGGTTACAATAAGGACCTGCTAAAACCATGCTCTGTAGGTGACAAATTCATCTGATAAACAGAAAGTTGTTGTTTGCTTGGTTGGTTGGGTTTTTTTTGTGTAGGACTTTGAAATAACTCAAAAATATTCAGTCTCACTGGCATACTGCAAAGGGTACTACAGATTCAAAAACAGTGAGAGTGTATTTCAGTGGCTTAACTTGTTCCTGAATCTAACTCTCTTCGAAGTGTACAGAAGACTGTTAACCATTTTTGTTCCTTCTTAGAAGTGAGTCCTCTATTCTGTTTTGAAAAAGACTTAGTTTGCTTGTTTGTGGTTGGTTTTCTGAATGATTTGATTTTTTTTTTTTTTTACATTGAACAAAAATTTCTGTGATTTCCACTGAGATGTAAGTATGGCTGTTCATGGATCACCTGTACAGAAATCTGTTTCCTACTTGAGAAGAAATTTAGTGATCATGATTTTAGCAGACCAAGTCATCAGCTTTTGGAATTTGTGAAAGGGAATCAGTGAGCCCAGCTCATTCCTTTCCCTCCGAGACCAGGAAGACTTACAGAAAACCCTGCCATTCATTTCAGTCTGCTCTGAACAGCTTCAATCAAGCTTCACCTTCCATAATTTCACCCTTCCTTTGCACTGATTCTGAAGAAGGATTTTCTTCTTTTTACCGCAGCACTTTCTTTTATTACACATTCCTCTGAAGTATCATAAAGAGTTCAAGCAATGTAACAATGTTCTTATGATAAAACAAAACTCTTACGGGTTCGTTTTTTTTTTTTTTCTTTTCCCCCCTTGCTTTGGTCTTTTTAAGTCTGAAAGATTTCCACAAAAATCATACTTCCATTTTCTGGCCAATACATAGACCTACTTGTTTACTCTGGTGCTTCTCATAAAAAAAAAAAAAAAAATCAACAATAAAGACATGATCCTGTAACTGTTTCCTGTCTTTATTTTTTGAAGAAAGATTTTGCCAAAATAAGTATTTACATAACTGCCATTTAAGTATCTATACAATTTGGCCTCTGAATAATTTCTTTTTCAAATGGCTCAATCATAATAATTTTGCTTTAATTTTCTGATCAAAATTAAAATACGTTTTTAAAAATCCACGGAAAATTTTGCACGGGATCTAACGTCACTTGAAAAAGGCAGAAAAGAGATTTATGTACCATTTGCATCCACTAAAGATGGTGATGAGCACTTCATTTATGTTGTAAGCAAAGTGTAGACTGCCTGAGAGCTTGATTTGTGCCAGATCCGTTGGAAAGCACCCTATCACAAATAACTGGTTTCTCCTCCAATGAAAGGGCTTCCTTTTGTATAGCCTAACTCAATCTACATTGCAGGCCAGGGAGGTAAGAGTGGAGAGACCAAATGAAAAGCGGGTCAGTATGGCTCTCAGCCGGAAGCCAGGAGCTCACGCTCCAGGAGCTCCAACGCATACTGAAATATTTCAGCGACGTACAGCAGTATGGACAGAAGATGTTACAAAGATCACAGCCTATAGCATGTAGTGAGCTCCTCAGCCTGGGGGTACACCTGGCGCTGGACTTCACCAGCCTACAGGTACGATACAATGCCAGGTAAAATCAAAAATAACTGTCATTTGGTGAATCTAGATAGAAGTTTTATTTTTAATACAACAACTCTTCAAATTCAATCTGAATTCCCAAGATGTTTGGAATTACCCCAAAATCACACTTCTAGTGTTGAAACCATACACTGCAAAATATGTGCTAAACCCAAGCAACATCTGTGTGCAGCTAAAGGTGTTAGTGACTCAAGCTCTCAGACATCTCCTTTCCAAAGCCACCAGCGAGGACATGACTGGAAAAAAAATGCACCATGAACAACAAAGAGACTGCACTGTTACATATCCAAAGAGGATTTCCTAAAACACTTTCCGTTTTGCAAACATTCATGAAAACCCTGTATCTGGGGTGGGTGGGGAGAGCATAAAAACAAAGCTTACCTGGCTTTGAGAGGTGTTAGTCACACCCCATACTGTGGTGACCACTGATAGAGAGCCTGGAGGCTGGTTGGTATTTTGCT